ACACACACACACACACACGCATACACACACATTTCTGGCGCACACACAGGAACAGATACAAGAAAATTAATACTTTAATTTTAAACAGCATATCATATATCAGAATCTGTCGGATTGAGTATCCATCTTGGAGAGTCACATAGAGATAGATGGGCCACAAAAACAGAAAGGTTACTAATGAAGGAAAAGCACCGGATGGTGTTGAAACCTTCGGCCATCTTGGCAGTGAAATTGACGGAGAAGGAAGAATAGGGGCTGAAATGAAGCTCCACATCGAAAAGGCACAGGTTGATTTCATATCTTTAAATAGGATTTGGAGGATCAGGGATATCTCGCTCCGCACAAAACTGAAAATTTTCAGTCAGTCTTGCTCTATGGACGTGATACATGGAACTCAGACATGTATAAAGAGAATCCAGCTTTTCTTTAACAATAATTGTCTGAGAAAGTTACTCAGGATCAGAAGGACAGACAGGGTCACGAACGAGGAAGTGTTAATGAGAACAAGGCAAAGCCCAATAGGTGATGAAGAGGGAAGAGGACGGTGGCGATGGATTAGTCATACTCTCAGAAAAGCAGGCAGCTGTATAACAAGGAAGTATCGGATTGGAATCCACTCATTAAGAGATCGGGGATGGGGGGGGGGGCATGTGGAACCTGAAGAACAGTAAAAGAAAATGATGTATAGATAGATGGAAAGACATGGCATGATACCAAAAGGATAGCCCAGAACAGGGAAAGGTGGAAAGTGTTTGTACGTGGCCTGTGGCCTTATCCGGGGTGAGTTTGAGTCTTTGAGTTCGAGTAAAGAGAACACATCGACACAATAAAAAACATACAGTGCAAGGAGGAAAAACAAGTCAGACTGAAACAACAGAAGGAAAGAAGTAAGGTCTACCTGGGGAGCCCACCAACCACCCGATTATAGGGTGTAAATGGCAATAATGAATCGTTCTTTGTTTTAGTAGAGGTTTTACGGCGCTCGCAACTGCATATATGAGCGCAAAGGGGTGGATGTCAACAGAGAAGTCCTCACAGGGAATCAGGCTTACTCTGCTCACCTCTCTAGCTTCAACAGCACAAAGTCTGCTTTGACTATCAAGCACCCCGGAAACAGCAGGTCACAAGAGTGTGACAAACATACAAAAAAGTAAAGGAAAAATGACGATAATAAGGATTAGGGGAAAAAAAAGCAGCAGTTCCCTATTGCAGTTCAGGCACAGTAATGAGCATGGCATTGTTGAATTTACAATTCTACTGAATATA